CCCCCCCCCGCGATCCACCGCGCCCTGGCCCGAGGAGGAGGCCTGCAGGCAGCACGAGGGAACGGGCGACGCCCGCGGCAGCAGACCACCGAGGCGCGGGCCGTGGATCCGACGGCCCCAGACGCCGCCGCGAAAGCAGGCGGCACCAGCCCTCACTGCAGGGGTGGACTGTCCTGTGACCGTTTGCGAAGGTGTCCTGCTGCTGCTGCCCGTTCTGCAGTGCGGTAGAACCACCTGCAGTTCACCGCTCGAAACTTTGAGGCCCGATTCGAGAAGGGTTCTGCTGCAGCTCTTCTCCCGGGGATTAAAGCGAAAGCAGAATCCCAGCGGCGTCCCGAAAGCGAAAGAGTCGACGTCGAGCGGCCGGCGGCTCTTTCTCCTCGGAGGAGCCTGCAGTTCCGGCAAGTGGCCGCGAGGAGGAGCAGCTGCGCTCCGCCGGACAGCCAGAGCGCCGCCCGACGGCTCCGCCGCCGCTCCGAGCTTGTCTCGCCTAGAGATGTGAAGGCCCGGAAAAATTCGAGGAAAAAACGGGTTTCCCCCATTTTTTCCCCTGAAGCCTTTTTTGTTTTTTTCCCCCAAAATTGGAAAAATTGAAAAAAGAAAAGGAAAAAAAAAATGATAGTGGAGCGTTTTATTTTAACATGATGAATAAAATATTTTAAGACAAGGTGTTCAAAATTTTTTCAAATCATTTCTAACAAATATGTATGGTATCAGACTGATCAAATTTCTGTGCACTGAGGACAAGCAAGTCCTAGGTTACAAACGGAACTCTCCAATGCAAGAACAAAATGCATTTCTTGCTTTAGGAGGTTCTGTTGTCACAAGAAAATAAAAAGGTTTCAGTTTTGTTTTTGCATGTGGGTGGGTATTCTGTTTTAATGATTGTTTGGAGACACTATATTTTTAATACGCTAGTTGTGATAATTTCATGCCAAGTAAAAATGTCTGTAGTCATATTTTATGTTCCTAAAGTAACAGAATGACTTTCAATCTGGAAAAGAAAAAATAAGTGCTAATGTAGCATTTTTTTCAATTTTTCTGAAAATTTCTGTTTTTTCCAAGCTTCAAAATTTCCGGAAATTTTACATCTCTAGCGCCCTCGGTTCAAACGGGCGGTCCTTTTCGCACTGCACCGTGTCCCCGTCCACGTGAAGGGCGGCAGGAGTGACGAAGGGCTTCCTTAAAAGGATGCATGCGCACCTGACCTTGAAGAGGGAGTGATGGGGGGAAACCACTTGCAAATAGCCTGAGCGTGGCCCTCCTCCTCCTCTCTGGGCAGAGCAGGGGCGCTTCTTGTGTCCTGTAGGGAGCTTGCTTGGCTGGCCCGTAGCCAGGAATTTCTAAGTCAGGAGGCATTTTAATTCCTCGGGGAGTGTGACACTGGGTCACCGGCTAATTGATTAAAAGTAATTTAATTACCGGCTTCTCAGTGCTCTCTGCCTGGCTGTCAGCTCTGTGGCCCCAGCAGCACAGGACGAGTTTGTGGTGGGCACCACATCTTGCCAGAGAGTTGGGGGGGGGGGCTGGGCTGAAAGGAATTTAGGGGGGGGGCTTGGGGGGAAGGTGGGGGGCCAAAATGCCCCGCTGTCGCTAGGAGCCTGCTGCGTGGGGAAGCCCAACGGCAGCCCCCCTGAGACCATTATGGACCGGCTTCCTTTTCTCTCCTCCCCTCCTGTCTCCCCCCCCCCATGCAGGGCGACTTCCAGGATGGTTCTGTACAGCCTTCTGCTCCTGCCGCTCTGGCTGAGCACTGCCAGCGGCATCGGGGTGCCAGGATGTAGGATCCGAGTGACCGCCAAGGGCTTGGAGCTGGGTAAGGAGCTGCTGCTGGTGGTGGTGGTATTTGGATCAGGACCTTGTGGAGGAGTCACCTGCGGGCTGCCTAGCGTAGCCTGCCCAGAGTCCTGTGCCCACCTGACATGGGGGAGGGAGCAAAGAGGGGCCAAGCCTTTGGTTCGCTCTACCTGGTAGCGGAGGGGACAGTGACCTTTGCCTGGTAGTGGAGGAGATGGTGCCCTTTTCCTGGCAGTGGAGGGAAAGGTGTCCTTTGCCCAGCAGTGGGAGGATTGTGTCCTTTGCGCAGCAGTGGAGGCGATGCTGCCCTTTGCAGCAGCAGTGGAGGAACATTGCCCTTTTCCTGACAGTGGAGGAGATGGTGCCCTTTGCCTGGCAGTGAAGGGGATGGTTTCTTTTTGTTGGGAGTGGAGGAATGTTGTCCTTTTCCTTGCAGTGGAGGGGATGGTGCCCTTTGCCCAGTGGTGGGAGGATTCTGCCCTTTGCCTAGCAGAGAGGATGGTGCCTTTGCCCGGCAGTGGAGGAATATTGCCCTTTTCCTTGCAGTGGAAGGGATGGTGCCCTTTGCCCAGTGGTGGGAGGATTCTGCCCTTTGCCTAGCAGCGGAGGGGATGGTGCCTTTTGCCCAGCAGTGGAGGAATGCTGCCGTTTTCTGTCAGTGGAGAGGATGGTGCCCTTTGCCTGGGAGTGGAAGGGATGGTGTCCTTTGCCCAGTGGTGGGAGGATTCTGCCCTTTGCCTAGCAGCGGAGGGGATGGTGCCTTTTGCCCAGCAGTGGAGGAATGCTGCCGTTTTCTGTCAGTGGAGAGGATGGTGCCCTTTTCTTTGCAGTGGAGGGGATGGTGCCCTTTGCCCAGTGGTGGGAGGATTCTGCCCTTTGCCTAGCAGCGGAGGGGATGGTGCCTTTTGCCCAGCGGTGGAGGAATGCTGCCGTTTTCTGTCAGTGGAGAGGATGGTGCCCTTTGCCCGGGAGTGGAGGGGATGGTTTCCTTCTGTCAGGAGTGGAGGGGATGGTGCCCTTTTCCTGGCAGTGGAGGGGATAATGCCGTTTGCCTGGTGCAGACTGCTTGGGGGCACTGCCTGATCCACAGGAAGGGTGGTGGTGGTGGGGTGCTGGCTTCTGTTCCCCAGGACTCCCTCCTGGTGCCCTGGTGGCTCTCTGGGGGAAGGCCGGGGCAGGGGGAAGATGGTGACCCTGTGGGGCTTTTGCAGTGAAGCAGGAAGGGCTGCGCTTTGTGGAGCAGGAGCTGGAGAACATCACCCTGGGCGACCTGCACGGCAAGGAGGGTCAGTTCCACTACAACATCAGCAAGTGAGTCTCCTCGGCCGCCCCCGCCGTGTCTAGAACAGGCCCTGCTCTGTTGGGTGCCGCCATGGCCGATCCGCCTGGAGCTGCTTTAGTGTCCTCCTAGCAAGACGAAGCCGCGGGGATCTGCCGGGATTCCTGAGTGGTGTGGCTCTCGAGGGAGGCCCGGGGACTGCCAGCTGAGCTCAGCAACACCCGCGTGGCCTGGGGAGGGGGCAGCACTTTGGAACAGAGCCTTTGTTGAGCCCTGGGCCAAGCCCCAGAGATACCCGGTCGGAGGGAGGGAGGGCTGGGGCCAGCGAAGAAGGTACCCCACGCCCGAGGACAGGGGTCATTTCGTAGAAAAAGAGGTGCAGGACCTCATTAGCATAACTCGTTTGCATATGCCACACCCCCTGACATCACCGGAAGTGTGTCAGAAGGCAACACCCACCGCTCAGGCTCCACTGGACTGTTTTGGATTGCTAGCTATTGGGGGGGGGGATACACAGATCTGTCCTCGCAGAGGAGGGAGAGCTTGTACCTGAATAAAACTTGGTCTTAAAGGTGCCACTGGACTGTTTTGGACCGGAGGGGGCTCTGCAGCTTACCTGGCTGCTTCTTGCTCTGACTGAGGGCTGCTGGGAGCAGGTGGGTGGGGCTTGTTGCTTGTGCCCGCCCCCTGGGCTCTTTACTGCCGGAGCTCTGCTCCTGTGCGCTCCTGCAGGAAATGACCCCTGCCCGAGGAGCATAACGCAGAAGTCTGGGGGTGGGGGTGGGGGAGTGGGCCTCCTGGCAGCCTCTGGCATCTCCCTCGCAGCATACGGGTGACCCGCCTCCAGATGGCCCACTCGGACCTGCGCTTCCAGCCCCGGCAGCACCTGGCCTTCGACATCAGCAACGCCTCCATCAGCCTGCGCTTCCGGCGCCAGATCCTCTACTGGTTCTTGTAAGTGGTCTCTGGGCCCCCAGCCTGCGTGGGGTGCCTGAGCAGCGGGAGGGAGCCAGCCGGGACCCCGCAGCCCCCCCTCCCGCCTCGGACTGCCCCCTCTCCCCAGGGCCTCCCCTCTGGCTTCTGAACCTCCAGGTGTGTATGTGGGGGGGGCCCTGAGCCATCCTGCCTCTGCTGGTCGGCCCCTCCCCCAGCCTGCATGTGACCTGCAGCCCCCTCCCCCCCCGTGGCTGGGTGGGCTTCCAAGCAGGTGAGAGCTCTGTGGTGGGGAGGAGAGCCCCCCCACCTGCCTCACTGGCCTTATGAACCCCTCGCTCCCCAGCTACGACATTGGCTCCATAAACACTTCCGCGGAGAGTGTGCACATTCACACGGCGCTGGAACTCTCCAAGGACAATGCCGGGCGCCTGAAGATCTCCAACAGCAGCTGCAACGCCTCCATTGGCCGCATGCGTGCAGGGTTCAGCGGCACGCTCAGGTATTCCCTCCCCTCCCCAAGATGCCTGGCCTCGCGTCTCTGGCTGCACATGACAGTGTGGGGGGGTGTCTCTTGACCGAGGGTCCCAGACGCTTTTTCTCTCCCCCTTGGTGAAATCTGCCCTGCCCCATTTCCAAAGCAGCCTCTGGGTGGATTGCCTCTTCACTAGGGCTGTGCACACATAACAAAAAGAAAAGTGATTGATCCTGTCATCTTAGGATGCATTAACAATCTTAGGATGCATTAACAGAAGCCTTGTGTCCAGATTACGGGAGGTGGTCGTTCCACTCTATTCTGCCATGGTCAGGCCCCACCTGGAGTCCTGTGTCCAGCTTTGGGCACCACATTTGAGGAAGGATGTTGACAAGCTCGAGTGTGTCCAGAAGAGGGCAACCAGGATGGCTAGAGGGTTGGAATCCAAGTCTTACGAGGAAAGGCTGACAGAGTTGGGTCTGTTTAGCCTGGGAAAGAGAAGGCTTAGAGGGGACATGATTGCAGTCTTCAAGTATCTGAAGGGCTGTCATGTAGAAGATGGAGCAGATCTATTCTCTCTTGCTCCGGACTGCAAGACTAGATCTAATGGGTGGAAGTTACAAGGGAGTTGACACCAGCTAAATATCAGGAGAAACTTCCTAACTGTGAGGGTGGTTGAGCAGTGGAAGAGACTGCCTGGGGGGGGGTGTGCTCCTTCGCTGGACGTTTCAAGCAGAGGCTGGACGACCATGTTTCGGGTATGTTGTAGGTATGTAGGGCTCTCTTTCGGCTGTGCTCCTGCAGAGTGCAGGAGGCTGGACTAGATGACCTGCAAGGTCCCTTCCAACTCTAACATTCTATGGTTCATTATCTAGCTGGGTTTTCATCTTCATTGTTTCAACGAGAGATGCATTTCTGGCTGTAGCTTCGTTGTTTCCTGCCAAAACTGGGATGAAATGTTTGCAGGCGGTTTTCTTGCCAAGGAACCCTCTTGACCCGACTGATGCTGTCCTGTCCTGGGCCTAAAGACTCTCCGTCGGGGGTGGGTGGGTATTGCCCAAAAGCCACCACATGGAAAATTTAAAAAGGTGTTTTTCTCACATTATGGCAACACACAGAAGCCACTTTTTTTTTGGATTCTCCCTCCAGCATCTTCCACTTTCAGGTCTCAGGCTTAGGATGTGAAAGCAAATGCCAGGAGTTAGTTCATTTATTTCTGGGTCAATGGGAAAACCTTGTCTTCACAACCAGTAATCACTCAGCTCTCTAGTTAGTAAGTTAGCCAGTTTGGTGTCGTGGTTAAGTGCGCGGACTCTAATCTGGGAGAACTGGGTTTGATCCCCCACTCCTCCTCCACTTGCACCTGCTGGATGACCTTGGGCAAGCCATGGTTCTGACTAGAGCTGTCCTTGAAAAAGAGCAGTTTCCGTCAAGAGCTCTCTCAGCCCCACCTGCCTCACAGGGCGTCTTTCTGTTGTGGGGAGGGGAAGGGAAAGGCGTTTGGAAGCCGCTCTGAGACTCCTTTGGATAGTGAAGGGCTGGGTATAAATCCAATCTCTTCTCTTCTTAAAAAAATTATTTAAAAGTAGTCTAAGTGTGAGAAAGATGCAGGTGGGTAGCTGCTTTGGTCTGAAGCAATAGAACAAAGTCTGAGTCCAGTGGCACCTTTAAGACCAACAAAGTTTAATTCTGGCCTTCTGGGTATCAGCTTTTGTGTGCAGGCACACTTCTTGAAAGCTGATAACCAGAATTAAACTTTGTTGGTCTCAAAGGTGCCCAACTGGACTCAGACTTTGTTCTAAATCTGAGAAAATAAGGCATAGAGAATCAAAGATATGTAAACCACACTGGCATATGGAAAAGCTACTATGTGTGAACAATACATGACGCCACCTCGTACTGGATGAGACCCTCAGTCCATCAAGGTCCAGCGGCTCTGCAGGGTGTTAGACAGAGATCTTTCATGTCACCTCCTACCTGATCCTCTTAACTGGAGATGCCGGGGATTGAACCTGGGACCTTTTGCATGTTAAGCAGACACTCTTTATCACTGGGCCATGGCCCCTCTTTGAATGTCCATGAAAATAAATGACTGTTCTACTCTACTTAAATTGGATCCAAGAATGAATCCAGATTTTAAGTCTCTTCCCAAAAGCATATGCGGGAAACGGACACCTTTCGTGGATCCAGATCTGAAAAGTTCAGGTGTTCCAGGGTGCTGAGAGCTTATGGAGCATCTGTGAAAAATCACATTGCCGTTGAATCTCCTGTTCCTCAACAGACGGAAGGAAGCCGTCAGTGTAGCATACACACGGTTCTCCAGCAAGGGGGTGAAGGCGGAAGACTAGTTCTTTTCCCTGGGACTTAATGTTTGTGCTGAGTGAATGACTGTCCCAAGGACGTCAACAATGAGAAAGAAAATGTCTGATAAGCACAGTCTGTGAATCATCAGGCAAACGTATGCTAGATAACAAAACCAAACCTAAAACAGCAAATTTCTCGGGGGAAACGGATCTCTACATACCTGGAGGTCAGTTGTAGTTTGGGGAGATCTCCAGCCCCCCCCTGGAAGTTGGCAACATTGCTTGCAGCACAGGGGTTGCTTAGCCGGTCATTTGCAAACGAAAAGGCCCTGGAGGAGGCACCGGTTTTTTTTAGCAGGAACTGCGAACCTGCAGGAGAGGGGGTGGCTGGAGGGCAAAGCTGGCAGAGACACCCCCCCCAGCCCTCTCTTCCCTGTGGGCCCGGGCACTGCCGTGGCCCCCCCCCTTTCCCCGTTCTGTAAGAGCAGAACTACGTCTCCTGGGGTCACTCTAACCAAGGGTTTGTGTTTGTGTTTGTGTGATGGAGCCACGACGCAGGGGGCACAAAAGGCGGTGGCCGAGAGCAATGCTCCCTCTAAGCTGTGGGGTCTTGTGAGCACAAATTCTACTCTGTGAGCTACACTGGCTTTAAAGTGGTGAGCGAGCCATTGGGCTACTGCATAAATGAGGTTGCTCTGGAGCCCTCCTTCTTGAGTGGAGAGAAAAATGTGTGAGCCAGAGGCTAAGAAACTGTGAGCTAGCTCACACTCACTCAGCTTAGAGGGAACAGTGGGCCTGAGAGACGAGGATGGGATAGCTGAGCCTTTGCCCCCATGGCATTCCCCCCCCCATGAAGCTTCCTTCTCCTGAGTCAGACTCTGGGTCTTTGGGGGGGGGGGTCAGTCCTCACCTCTCCGGCCAGCAGCAGCTCTTCAGGGTCTCAGGCTGAGGTCTTTCCCATCTCTGGTCGCCGGGACCTTCCAACCAACGTTCCCTCTAAGCTGTGGAGTCTTGTGAGCAAAAATTCTACTTTGTGAGCTACTGGAATTAAAGTTGTGAGCGAGAGATTTGGCTAATGCATACATTAGTTTGCTCTGGAGCCACCCTTTGTGAGCTGAGACAAAAAGGTGTGAGCTGGAGGCTAAAAAACTGTGAGCTAGCTCACACTGACTCAGCTTAGAGGGAACACTGCTTCCAACTGAAGACGCCGATGGGGACTGAAACCGGGACCTTTGTCAGATAAAGCAGCTGCTGCCCCACTGAGTCCACCCCCCCCTTATGTGTGCAACCCGGCATGCCCACATCAAGGCATGCAAGCCAAGAGTTTGCCTCTTGCGGCTTGGTGGGAGGACCGCGCGGCAAGCAAACTGGAGCCACTGCTTATGCGAACACAAGAAGAGCCATGCTGGATGAAAGAAGAGGAGGAGGTTGGATGTATACCCCATGGCCCTTCACTACCTAAGGGAGTCTCAGAGTGACTTACAATCTCCCTTCCCTTCCCCTCCCCACAACAGACACCCTGTGAGGCAGGTGGGGCTGAGAGAGCTCTTGACAGAAACTGCCCTTTTTCAAGAACAGCTCCTTATCAGAGCTACAGCTTGCCCAAGGCCATCCAGCCAGGTGCAAGTGGAGGAGGGGGGGATCAAACCTGTTTCTCCTAGGTTAGAGTCCGCGCACTTAACCACTGCACCAAACTGGCTGAAACAGTGGTCCAGCCTCCTGTCTCACACGGTGGCCGTCCAGTTCCTCTGGAGGGCCAAGGACAGGGCATAGAGGCCGAGGCCTTCCCAATAAGAACCTCAGAAGAGCCGTGCTGGATCAGACCAGTGAGGGTCCATCTAGTCCAGCATCCTGTCTAGCCAGTTTAGTGTCGTGGTTAGGAGCGCAGACTCTAATCTGGGAGAATCAGGCTTGATTCCCCACTCCTTCACATGCAGCTGCTGGCGTGACCTTGGGTAAGTCACAAGGTCTCCCAGAGCTGTCCTTGAAAGAGCTCTCTCAGCCCCACTTACGTCACAGGTTGTCGGTTGTGGGGACGGGAAGGGAAAGAAGGTTGTAAGCCGCTCTGAGACTCCTGGTAGTGAAGGGTGGGTATAAATCCAATCTCTTCTTCTCTTCCTCCTTCTGTCTCACACAGTGGCCAACCAGTTCCTCTGGAGGGCAAACAGCATAGAGGCCGAGGCCTTCATAAGAACCTTAGAAGAGCCCTGCTGGATCAGACCAGTGAGGGTCCATCTAGTCCAGCATCCCGTCTCACACAGGGGCCAGCCAGTTTCTCTGGTGGGCCAAGAGTAGGGCAGAGAGGCCGAGGCCTTTCCAGGATGTTGCCTCCTGGCACTGGGATTCGGAGGTTGACTGCCTCTGAATGTGGAGGTTATACTGAAGCAAAGTGTGCTCGAAGCCAGTGAGCCGGGAAGACGGCTGGTGTATTACTTTTGCAAACTGGGAAACAACCCTGTCAGTTACATGATCCGCTGAGTTAAGAGGATGGAGGAGCAATTCCTGCATTCTCGGCAGGCCCTCCGGCCATCATGACACAGGGGCTTCTGTGCTCTCTGCAGAAAGGTGTATGAGTTCCTGGCCACCTTCATCACCAGCGGCATGCGCTTCCTCCTCAACCAGCAGGTAAGAAGCAAGCGGAGAGGGGGTGGGGTGAGAGCAAGCCCCGCCCCCTCTCGGGGGCTCCTCCATCGCTGCGGCTGAACGGGGCCCCAGGCAGCAGCTCAGTTCCTCAGGTCGCTGCAGAGAGGAACAAAGACCCCCCACCTAACCCACCATGGAGGATGGGGGGGAGACGGGGGCTATTCCTCCTCTGAGTGGCCCCTTCGGCCTTTGAATCACCTGGCTGTGCTCAGAGTGGTGGCAGCTAAAAGGGCAGCGACGGGGGGGGGGGGGTTTTCCTTTTTTTTTTCAGGTTCCTATCCTTTAAATGTGACCCATTGTTGGGAGCCTTTGAGCATGGACAGAGTGCTTTCCCAGCCCATAGGGATCTTAAAGTTGGGGGGAGGAGGGCTCCCCCCAGGAAAAAAACCCTCCCATTTTGGTCACAGAGCGGTCGTGTGCCCCCCCCCCCACAGCTCAGGAGATTCTGTGGAGCTCCCCCCCTCCCTTCTCTGTTTTTCTTCTCAGATCTGCCCCGTGCTGAACCACGCAGCGATGGTGCTGCTGAACTCTGTCCTGGACACGGTGCCCGGTGAGCGTGCACGGGGGGGGGTGTTTGGGAGTGGAGGGGGGGTGGGCTCGCCCACTGGCAGAAGGAGGAGAGGCGTGGCATTGGGGTCTGGGGTGTGTGTGACTCTTCTGGGCACACGCGTGAGCAGGGGGCGAAGGGGATGCTGGAGGCCAGGCCAGAATGTGCTCTGTTCCTCTCCCCCCCACCACCACCACCTGCAGTGCGCAACCCAGTGAATGATTATATTGGGATAGACTACTCCCTCCTGCGGGACCCCGTCATCACTCCGGACACCATGGACTTGGATTTTAAGGTACCTGCCTGGAGGGAGGGAGAAGGCACGGCCAGTCTGGGGCAGCGCTTGGCGATAAGACGGAGGAGGAGGAGGAGGAGTAGAGAACCCCCCACCGCCCTCCTCCAAGCTCTTTGGGGGAAGGGGGGGGTAAAACTGTCGGAAGCGACTTGGGAGGGTGCAGGCTGGGGCATGGCGGAGGAGGCGGGAGGAGTGGATTCCGGCCCACTTCTGCCCGAAGGAAATCAGAGCCAGAACCAGGAGAAGGAGAAGAAGAGAAGAGATTG